TGCAGTAAATGGTTTGAACCCGGGGGTAACATGTGAAGGTGTAGTCTGATCGTCCGGGTGAGTGTAGTCCTGAGAAGGACTGTTGTCGGTGGCAGTGACTGACGTTTCGACAACCTGTGCGGAAGTCATCATCAGAGTCAAGTGAGTGATTGTTGTCAGTAGAATGTTCTTATTCCAGTTCGTGTGAAATGATCGGTTGGTTTTGCCGTGATGTTATTGGCTGTAAGACTCAAGTGACGTAAGTCGTTCGTGATTGGTCTGTTTCGGTCTGTCGGTAAAGCTAGGTTGTTCTTTTTCGGTCGTTTGTGATGTTTATGTCGTGAATGAGTCGTTTGTATGGGGCGGGTAGTTGTTGACATCTGTTTAGGGGAGTCTGTTCTAAGTTAGTAAACCAGCTTTCCAGAGTCAGTCGTTGAAAATAGTCAGTGCTGTAGGTTAGGCATTGCGCAGAGTCCCAGTCAATGTTGTGGTTGGTAAGTCGATGGTGTTCAGCAATGTGATTGCTGACATCACCTTTCCTCGTCGCCCGTCTGTGTTCAGTCAGTCTTGTTGGGAGGTTTCTGCCAGTCTCACCGATGTACGAGGCTTGGCAGTCGGAACAATTGATCTTATAAATCGTTCCTTGTCTGTTCCTCGGTTCGTCTTTGTCTTTAACGTTGGTTAGTAACTGACGTAGTGTGGTGATAGGTTTGTGGGCGGCGCGGATATTGAAGGGTTCAAGCTATTTACTGCGTTTAGTTTATTATTTGTTATTTTGATTAGTCTTCCTTTTACCTTTCATTTGCATTGTCTAAATTACATGATTTAATTGCAATTTATATATTTATTAATATAGATATTTTAAGCTTATCTATTTATTTATGTATCATTAGTATTTATAATTAATAATATTAGGATATATTTTTAGACGTAAATTTATAATAGTGTAAAGTAGATCTAGATAGCAGGTCCACATCAGCAGTAGCTGACGTCTATTCAACCTCAAGTTTACCAAATAAAGGATGTATGTATGTATGTATGTATGTATATATGTGTTTTTTGTTGCAATTATTTTTACTAAGGGTAAAAATATGTAGAGAATGACCTGAAGGGAGACGAAAACTGCTTCAAGTTAGTAGAAGGTTCGAGTTATCGAGGGTTCGAGTTATCGAGGGTTCGAGATATCGAAGGTAACATTGCAGTAAATGTAAGACGGAAATCCAGGGTAAATTGATTTTGGTTCGAGTTAGTGCAAGCTTCGAGTTAGCACGAGGTTCGAGTTATGTCAGTTATCGGGCGAGTTCGACCTTATAATCTATGAAATAATGGAAGATAAGTTATATACTTCATACTGATTAGTAACATCAAGAGACTGTAAATAGTTTGTAATCTCTTGGCAACATGTGATCCTGTTGTTTCAAAAATTTTAGTGTCAGGCAATTTGCTAAAAAAGCAACCACTAGTTTTGATGGAGGGGGTTTAGCCTGGATATGTCAATGGTCTGTGAACATAATACGACAAATACATGCAAGTATACCTGTCCAAGTGACTGACAGGTTAAAATGGAGTCGACTGTCAAGGGTGCAACTAGGAGGGGGGCCCTGGGAGTGCTCGTGATCCCCCCTTTGGTCGAAATGATAATCTGGTGAGTACCCTCTGTTTTACACAGTGTGACCCCCCCCCCGCCTTTGAAAAATCCTGGCTACGCCCCTGATCTGACTGCACAGAATGCTAGGTCATGTTTAATCATTAAGGCACGGCCTTAATGATCAAATGAGGCACGGAGATTGTTGTTTCTTTCAAATGGGCATGAAATATTTTCACTTGACTCGCGTTTAAACGAATCCCGCTCAGGCTAATCAAACTTCAGCCGAACTGGAGAAAGAAATGATCTTTGATTACTTGAGGGGTTCTCCTGGTTGGGCTACAATTTTACGGATTTGAAATGTGCCTACCTGTCTTTGTTCAGTGGCTAAGTTTATGGATAACAGTTTATGGAGGTGAGTTCGTTTCAATCACAGCACGCCTAACTGAAAGATACAACAAATTACATTAAAAAAGCTTGTTTTGAAATTTTAAGCCAAAAGACATAAAAGTCACTCTCGTAAAGCAGCAGGCTTTTCCGTATTAGGTCTTTTAACGCAAACCAATTCCAAAACTGCCGTAATACCAAAACGCGTTGGTCACGGCATGATGCTATCCCACCAGTCTAAGCGCCGACGAGCTGCAGGTGGAATGAATTAATGAGCGTGCTCAGTGGCAAGATACATAGTAAAAGTAGCAGAAAGATCAAAGAAAGATTCCAGTAGGTGGCAGAGATGGGTATAAAAAGATAAAAGGTAGGATAAAGTTGTATTGTAATAGCCTATAAAACAAATATTATATACAGCAAGAGGTCGGCTGAACTCAAATAATTCGAACCGTTCAATCGACTGTTTATGGTCGGAAGAGACCTTTGTACGTCGATCGAGCTTGGCAGAAATCAAAGGAAAACAAAATACATATGCAGCAAACAAGATAAAAATTTGTTATGAAGTTACCTCAGGAAGCTGTACGTATTACTTTGAGGCTTCGGTTTCCTTACCTCCTTTTGGTGATTACAATTGATTTCTAGCGAAGTTCCTCGCGATGATCTCCGCAAATCCTCGTCACTTTATTTCCTAGATATTGACAACGGCAAAGAAGAGTTATTTTTATCCGATTGCCAAACATTTTGTTCAAGGTTAATGCCACTGGTAAACACACGATGTGTTTCCCCCACATTCTGATTCACGTATCAGTGCAACGCTAAGACGCGAAATTTCAAATTAAAAGCAAAATGAAAATTATAATATTCTACGCCCCGGCGGACATTCAAATTCGTAAATCGAGACGAAAAGCCATTAGAAGTAAAATAGTGACTAATAATAAAACTCGAGAACATCTGCAATTCTTAGAGATGACTCCTTCGATTTCCCTTTAAGGAATATTTGCCTTTTCAATATTTAAGGCAATTGTCAAATTTTAGTGGCCTGAAAAAAGAAAAAAATGAAAAAGAAATTTAACCTTAAATGGAAATTTGGACGAAAATTTGCTTGTAATATGTTAATATACAATTTCAGACGTCACCTGATGTGTGAGACGGGGTGGAAACTAATTTATTTTGTGTTTCGTGTCCTCGATTAATTTTTTAATACACAAGCTTTTTTCTTCGTTTTATTTCTGTATAGAAATAGGATAGGATTTGCAAAAATGGTTTTCTGAAGTTGACGCAGTATCTGAAGTGAAACAGGTCCTTTTCCGACTTGGCCAGCTTTCTAAAAAAAAGTTTCGGTTTCCTGTCTTTCTACAAGAGCCGTTATGACAAATATGGCTGATGAAAAAAAAGAAATGCAACATATATCAAACAAATAAACATGCATTCAAACTACGAGCAAACAAATGTTCCTCGCAGGTGGACTGCAATTTTAACGATTGCAAAAGAGAAGTTTAAAAATTCAGGCTTTGACGGGATTCAAACCATGCCTCTCAGATACAACGAAACCAAACGTTATAGGAGCTGGGAGCGAGACAAAGGCGAAGCTCCATCACATTAAGAAGTGTTATTGTTTTAGCTTAATCTTGGTTCCTGTCCCCTCACCTTAGTTATATTTTACAATTATTCGCCGGCCAAAGGCGAGGTGAATATCGTTGAATAATCCTCCAGACGAAGTCGAGGGGATTATTCGACAATATTCGCCGAACCGGAGGCGAATAATTGTTTTAGTATAATTTCAGAGCTGAACAACAGAGAAATTTCTAAAATCATAACATTTTAGTAACATTTATTAACATTTTATTTCAACATTTTATATAAACCGCGTGGAGCGGTTTATATAGCGTCATATAAGGAACCGCTCGACCAATCAGATTGCTGGAAACTCTTTGCTCAGCTCTGAGGTTATACTAAATATTCATAGTCATTGATGTCATCAACGGTTACTTTTGAAAATGTATGTGGAGCACATTCGAAACGTCAAGTCATAATCAAAATGCGCAAGTTCAATATGTTTGTCACTGCTGTTTGTGTCTTATTTTTGATCAAATTACGATGGCCTAAGAACAAAAGCATAGGACAACTTTTAGTGTGATAACAATGTGACACTCTTGTGTCAGTTAAAATTATTTTGGGTTGCATTGGACATAAAATCCCCAACATCAGTTTGGGAGGATTTAAACTAACCTTCCCTTCAAAAAAGAAAAGAGATCTTAGTTTAGTAATGCTTCAACCGAATCGCGAAGTACAACCTGCCACTGATCTGTACTTTCGGTCGTTGCTCCGCTTTTGAGTTAAATATAGACGACTCGTGAAAGCGGAAGCAGTCAAACCACATGGAAAGTGTCATTCGTCTTCCTGTCGTCTTCTACTTGATTTTAAGACTGAAATGTCTGGTTTTACGTTTTGTTATTCTAACTGGTCACGAAAAGCGTTCTGTAAATTCCAGAAGAATAAAATTATTTACCTAAGCCTCGTGTAAGATATGAACATTTATTAGGCGTTGATTCCACTTTTGGAAGGGTTTTTTTTTTTCCTTGAAAAAACTTGTTTTCGTTTCAAATCGTCAGCAATATAAGTATTTGTATGAAAAGAAGTCGGTCTTTTTCGGAACTTAGATCTTATCGCGTGTTAGTTTCCAGAAAATACTGACATTCTTTGTGAGAAACGACTGCTGAGGTGCGGTTACATAAGGAAAAAAGCGTTTTACACGCTCACGTTGCTTGTTCATGGGCTTGGTTAAGACTATTCATGACGTCAGACATACAATATGTTTCCGTCATCGTTTACCGAGTATCAAAGCAAAATTTATCTTCTTCCCTCTATTAACTCTGGTAAAAGCGACAAAGAAAGTGACGACCTCATTGTTTTTAGAGCCTTTGTTGATACCAATAATGTCGTAACTGAAGGGACACTTTGAAAATAGAATTTATTAAGCTTGGACGCTTAATGAACAGATCCACCACACCTGAAGGCACAAGTACAATTTCAGCATTCTTCCCTAACTAAAGATAGCCATAATTTGTCTGCTCCAATTGGAGCATAAACCGCAAAATAAATGGTCAAGGTATTTATTAACCACGGGTTTCCCGCGGGACTCGCTGTAGCTTTACCGCCTGGTCGATTTTTGCGTTTTATGCCCGGTATTTTCGACAAACGAAATTATACTCGACTTGTTTGAGAAAGTGCTTTGAGCTGTGCACCCATAAATAATTATTGTTTTAAAGTTGTTTTTTCTAGTTTCTAGAATTACTGAATAAACAGGCACGTCTTAATCAGGATATCCCCTGGAGGGAGAGAGAACGAAGAACTTGGAATGCCCGAAAATCCAAACTAGATTATTATGATGTGAAGACGACCAAAATTAAGAAAGATCTCACAATTTGAGACTGCCTATAAAGAGCCAACGTCAAGATCAGCTCTTTGTCATGTTCCGCTGAACTGTGACAGCAAGCCCTAACAAGAACCTTTAGAAGTAAATGACGTATTTGTTCTTAACGGGAAGCCAAGGGGATGGGGGTAGGGTTATCATTTTGATGTCAAAACACACTGATGTCTAAAATGATGCAACGAACACATCTTTTTCTTCCTTTTAATCTTTAACCTCTCTTTTGCTTGTCAATAACTTCTCACTATAATACAGAGCAGAAAACTCAATATAAGCCGGCTCGGACCGAGTTTGAGAATTTTTCTTGCTGCAACTTTTTGCATACGGCTAAGTCTGAAATACCCTCACCGGAAACGCTTTACTCCATCGTGAAGGCACTTCGGATGGCAAGCAGCCTGTACCAATCAAAGCTGGCTCCATAAACATCCCTGCTGTCAAAAACACACAAAAAACCGAAGTCAAACCATTAAATTAGTGAACTTTTATCTCACGTAGCCTAATAAAAATATAGGAGGTCACGTATTTTGCAATAGTTCCCAGTGCGGTATCATTCGACGACAATTCCGTGTCTCCAATTGTCTATTTGTCGATATAGACAAAGTAAGCGGTGCTTTATGAGCGCTGAATTATTTTTTTTGGTTTATCTTCTCTCGTCTTCGCGGGAAAACAATACAACCCAAACATTTCGCTTGGGTTCCCCAAAAGATTGGGGTCAACGACTTTAAGAGAGGGTTTATTTTGGGGTATAATCAAATTTTGGATATGGAACTCAACCTAATAACGCACTGCGATCGTTAAATCTTATAAATTACAATATTCCTGATCACAAGATGTGTTAATCAATGTTCACGGCGTTAGCAGATTGTGTTAGCGCTAGCTATATCAAGGGAGGTAATCTAAGTCAGTCAAGCGTGTTCAAATTTTCCCTTCTAGTAAAGTCAGGAAAGCGACTGAAAGGAAAGCCTTGCTTCCTGTGCATAAAATATATTAGCTGCAACGGTTCAATATAAGAATATCTTCTAGTTAAGTCGAGCTCTTTTGCTTGACTTAAGCTGTATTTTTTTTTTGGTCAGTAATTTGTTTTTGCGAAAGGAATGTTTAGCAAAAATTCCACAGAAATAACGCAGTTCCTGTTTATTTTTTTATCAGTTTTTGATCCATTGTGTAAACACTTCTGACCGTAAATGAATGTCTTGTTTTAAAACGAAAAAGAAGTAAATCTGCACCTTTTCCGTCAAGTTTCCATTTGTATCTTCAAGTTTTAAGCATCGCGCCAATTTTACAAAACATTTCCTACCTAAACCTCTTCCCCGACAGAGAACATATGTCACGCCATACGCTAGTGACGTCTGTGGTGTGACATTTATCTTTTGTACCGAATCTAAACACCAACGACAGCCAATCATTTCAACAGAAATTAATAAAGACTGTCAACGATGTCGCTTCTGATGGGTTAATTATTGGCGTCAGCAGCGTTAGTGAGACCCTGTTCGCGGATTCTTGACGGAAACCACTCATGTGTCTAGCCCGCTAGATCGGATTAAGCCGACTGAATTTTTCTGCTTGTAACCCTTTACCCCACTTGTATTCTGCGACTTGTCAAGCGATGTGAATTTTACGTCAAGAGCCGATATTGATTTCATCTTTGTGACGGGCGCGAAACTCCAACTTCTGTGTCGTTTAAGACTAGCGAAACCGGAAAGGTACAACAGTGTTGAAAGACTCTACTGGTAGAAGTATGGCCGAACTACCTGCGGATGTTATTTTGGGTGAGTATTTAAAAGTTGTGTGTTATGATCCTACTGCGAACCACAGTTAGCAACCTTTGGTGTTTATCCAATGTACGATCACTCGATCTCAATTGACTTAGTGTGAACGTACTATTATATAGAAACTAAAAATCTGAAGACTACCAAATTGGATTAGATTATTTTAGCTTAAAAGCTAAGCTTTGCGAATGTGTCTCTCTTACTTTTGAATCTGTCATGGCAATCCAACTGTTTTCAGTCAAGCAACACAATTTTCAAGAGGTTGGTTGTATAAACTTATTGTTTCTTTTTATATCCAAAACTATTGATTATCGGTCAACCGGAGCGAAGACGCGATTTTCGTTTATTCTAAAACTTCGTCAACCTCACTTGATATCTTTGATTTCGATATATTTCGGAGGAAAGAAAACCAAAATTTGACTGTCTACGCCTGATCTGTTTAATCCAGCGATTTTTGAAAACCAAGTTTCGTCATGGTAGTTTATCCAGATCAATGCAGTGGTCAAACCGAAAACTTTTGTTTGTTTATAGTTCGAAACGAATCTTCGATGTTACATGTACTTTCATTGTGTTCGACAACAGACATACTTTTCAGTTACGAACTTTGTTTAGCTTAAGATCGGTTTTTGACAGGTAAAACAGATTAATTTATTCTTAAACCAGCAGGTTACGAGCTGTTTCATTGACAGAGACATAACAATATTCAATTTCACTTGCTTGTAATGCAAAAGACAGTCTGATATTTGCATAACACCGGTTCAATGCATATAAAAAGCAAGGAGATCTTTTTAAAATCTATGGAGAAAATTTGGATTTGGGAGTCAGCCTACAAAACATGTTTAGTTAAGTTTTGCGATACTTTTTCAAACAGCCGTGATATGAATAATTTTATAGTATTTTGAATACTTTCTGGAAACCTTGGAGTTGCGTTCGTTGTCACAAATTTTCATTTAATTTTATGCCACCAAACAGAAAGTGATAGCAAATAAGCAGCTGGAAAGATTAGTAGATTCGGAGAAGTGATCGCTCTTTTTGTATGCAAGCTAAGGCCTAACAGATATTTTTGCCATATCAGTGATAGTGATATTTCGGCGACAATACTATGAATCGGTGCCAAGAATTGTCGTTAAGTAGAAGCGTTTTATTTTGGCCATTGTCAAGTGACAATCACATGGGTTAATTGGAAGCTTCACCCATGTAACCAGGACATAGTGAAGGAAAACCTAGAAATGAAGTTATGAAAGATTGAATGACATGAGAAAGAAGTTTAGAGAGATCCAGGAAATCCCAATGTGTAATTAAGGTCCAGGATTTCTCAATTAATGTATTGTAGCAAGAATACTTTATTGGCATGCTCAGTGTATCTTTGTCTTCAAACAGCAATACACAACCATAATTAACATATTCTTTGTTCAATATTTGAAATGCAGAGAAGAGAGCAGATTTGTTATATTTTAACACTAAACTTTGTAAAGCAATGGTATAAGGATACAAACATTTCCATAATCTTCCCAATTTAACAGTGAGCCTTGTTTAGTTTTGGACTGTAAAGGTTGTTTTTGTATTGCATCATTTGAGTCTACAGATTCCAGAATATTTAGAAAGGTGGTGCCTTTTTTCATTTCTTCTTTAGTGTTTTTATGTACAAAATTGTAAAATAGTTTGTATCTGTTAAGTATTGTTAAGTTTAAATACACCTTATCGCCTTTGTTTTCAAATTAACACACATGCGACGGATACAATTTTCTATGCACAACTACAATTCTGTTTACATTTAACTTTGAATCAAATGCACAAATCTAACTGCTTAAGAAAGATATTTTAAAATTACATTTTTAGCACATTATGTTCTAAAGCTATATGAAATTGGAGGTTAGCGAGTTAAACCTTGCCAATATCCCAATTTCCCCTCTTTGATGGACAAAGGCATGACACACTTCTTTTTCACTTCTAAAATAAATCTCTTTTAGTTTTAACAACCAACAATTACTCATTTTATTTTAAGCATCAAAGTAACAGAGGCATCACAATTCATTTAGGATTCATCAAGGATTGTTGATCACTTAAGATAACTGAATGACTGACTCAGGAGGTGACTTCTACTTGTATTATTGTTGACAATCAATTATTATAAGTGGGAGGGGGGGTAGGGGGTTGGCTGGTACATTTTCATTTTCCTCCACATAATTTCAAGTGACCCTGTTCTTACCACTGCATTAAGTACTGTGACCTCTCCCCCCCTCAAGTTAAGAAATGGTTAGCCTGCAGTGTGCAACCATCGAGTTATACATGCATGCGGGAGGTTGCTATAAGCATGAAAGAAGTGTAAGAGTCGCATGAGGCGATAGCCAAGTGCGACTCTAGCTTCTTGAGTGTTTAGCAAACCTCCCAAGTGCATCCATAACTCTATGGTTGCATGCTGCATGCTAACCATTTCTTTTATAACATTGAGACTTTCAAACATCTTTTGTTTCATGTATAAATATTTAATTGTTCAACCAGCTGATTAAGCTCCTGCTTGCTCAAGTTCGCAAATTTTGAACTCTAAGCTGGAGACCCGACAAAAACCTTGAGCTCCAAATTTGGCAGCTCACAAGAATTATCTTCCTTATATCTGGAAAAATTACAAAATTTGTCTATATTTCACAAGCAAAATATCTACAAAAAACTGGAATTATGTTGTGTGTAGTGGCAACATCGACGAAAAAGTTGCCGTGAAAAAAAAAAGCAAAACAAACTGACGTCAGCGTGCAACCCACAGGGAAATGGATCAAGTGTATGAGCCAATCAGAGCGCACGCTTTTGTAAAGCCATGTTATAAAGTGGTTTGTTGTAGGTCCCCTCAGACCACCTCAAAGCATGACTCCTTGAATGTGGTTGCAGAAGTTTTATGCAGTCCCTCATTTTTAAGGTTAATGAAAAGGTATAACACCCTCACCATTTGCATCCACCCTTCTGCCCTATTACATATGACAGGCTACTTATTCAGTATCATTTGTATTCTTTTTCGTAAAGTTCTATGAAAGAGATGCTTTCAGTCTAAAATGCAACATGTGACAAATGAGGAGACAATATTTCAAAAACTTAAATGAGAAAATAAAGTCATCTTTGTCAGATTTCAGATGTTGATCCCTGCATTGGCATGAGAAGGGATACATTCAATCAGTACATCTTGACAACATTACTGAGAATCAACTTTCAGCTTTTGTTTAAACTAAATTAGTTTTCAGAGACCTGCATATTTTTCTCCAGGTTTTCTATTATTGTAAGTATTATAACCTCATAGACAAACATGCTATGTTCACTTCCTTTTTTTAGTGAATTTTCTGATCTATGATTAGAAAAATTGTTTAATATATAGTTAATATGTATTTCATTCTTTTTTTCAATTTGAAAGATTCATGTACATGTAGTTTATTTTAAGAAGTCTCTTTTAATTACAGATTAAAGCAATAGGTTTGATTTATGCCATTTTAATTATTTAAAGCATTCAACAATCAAATGGTTTTTTTTTTTGGTCTGGAAATGAAAGTGATGAATAATAGATGTGCTTGCAAGCATAAATCTTTGGCACATGATAGCTTACATGATGCTAACATGGCTTCAACAATCCTGTGTTGGTTTGAGGTATAAATTCAATGTTGCTGTCTTTATTTCTTCTGCTTTTTTATTATGTCTCATGTTGTAAATTCTGCTGGCTATTAGATTAATAAGATACATATTTCTCTTTAAAAATAAGATAATTTGTGATGCTCAAATATATTATACCAAAAGTTTTATTTTCATATTTGTAATTTTCTGAGAAAGGTACACAGTGGAATGTTATTTGGGAGTGGATATATTGCAAAAAATAACTTTTTTTAATTGTTTCATAAATTCAGTAGATTATTTTGTTTTCTTTAGATATTTTAACTCTCCAGGTATGTTCTTAATTGCTTGTAAAAATTTCTGATTGAAAATGAATTGAGATATCTTTTGAAAATCTTTGAATTTTGTGCAACTCGTTTTGTTTAGCCAGCAATTTCTTCAATGATATTTCCTCAGTCTTCTCTGCATGTTGCTTTTGTTTCTTGCTGTCACACATTTTGATTTATTTCATGTCTGTAGACTTTGACAACAAACACTTTTACTCATTCCATGCTGCAGATTCAAAATCTTCTATTTTAACTTTGAAATTACATGTACACATATACAATTTCATTTGAATATCCTTTTTTCACTCCCTGTTACCAGTAGAATTGAACAGTCAGCGTTACATAGTTCTTACATATATTTCAAAGTTTTTTCAGAATGACTGTCTTAAAATTACCAAAGGGAATACTTACAGATGGAAAGTTTCAAAATGGAATTTTACACTGTGTCTTAATAAAAAGAAAATAAGATCATGTAGAATTTGGCCGAATAATAACAACTAAAGGTTACCAAAGGACATCCCATACAAATAACAGAGGCAAAGGTGTGAAATAGTTTGTGAAATATTTGGTGAAAGTGGTTATCTCAGAAAGAAATGTCATATTCCTTTGAAAAGTGATTTTATATTTGTTGATCCTTTGAATTAGTTTGGAATTCTTTAGGATTTTCATCATAATCACTTCCTATATTTTGTGAACATTCAGAGTTTGAATATATCCAAATTTTTTTTTCTAAATTAATCCTAATTTATAAATTTGCTTTAACTCCATAGAATTTCAAGCTGGACTTTCAAAATTGAATATTTTCCTTCAAAACACATTATCAAGTGAATTCCTGAGCAGTGAAGCTGATGTGCACAAAAAAGAATGTGTTACTCTTGTGGAAGGACTGATTAATTCTCTAAACAACATGAAAAACAGCAACATAAAGGATGAAAACCTCCTTAATGGTAGACTCTCTATTTCAAGTCAGTCATTGGATGAAACAAATGATTCAAATGGAATTACTGACCAGGGGATTCCCCGCAGTGGTTCCCTCCCAGATATGTCCAGTTATGTTCAACCTGAGGATTCAGGGAACTGGCAAGCAAGCAAGAGTAAAAAGGTATTTAGAACTTTAGTGCAGAACACTAAAAATGAATTATGTGGTCAATCAAAAGTGTTTAAGACTATGGCCATTCCTACATATACATTATTTTTTCCTAAGTTCAAGTAAAGAATATTTGAAGGTATATTTATCTCCTTCTATGATAATTATCTCACCCAGAGCAAGAAAAGATTTTGCCCTTCAGTCGATTTGCTTGGAGCTCTGCTCTGCTCTGCTGACAGTTTTGGAAAAAAAAAATTATGATTTAAAATTAGTCAATAAGTTAAGATTCAACTTTTAAATTGAACACAATAAGTAAATATGATTGTGTAATGATAATAATAATAATAAAAGTGATCAAATGGAATGATGGTAGGACAACTGCAACAATCAACATTATGGTGTCTTTTCAAAGTATGTAAAGTACTCTGTTGGAACACTGTCAATTTTGTGAAATCACAAAATTGTTGACTGTTGCAGTGATAAATGAATATTGTTATAGTTTCAAGAAATAAAAAAAATCCGATTATAAAAACTATCAATTTAAAGCAAATCAAAGATTTTCAACAAACTCTTTTACCTCTCTACCTTTTTTGCTCTTCCATTTTCATTCTTAGTGGTGTAACAAATTAATCATGTAATTTTTCACTTGTGTAATTGAATAAACATTTCAGTAAGTTTTGGCTGACTTTGCTGGACAGATCAGTGTTTGATACACCAGGTGGCAAGACAAGGTCTAAAAATGTTCACTAAGCAGGTTTATTACAGCAGATTTGAACTTTTAGGTCTGAACATTTATTAAATTATGACATCTCAATATTGATTTGTTTTAAACTTAAACTCACTAACTTTTACTGTTCTTTCTTGGAACTTCTAACATAAACAGGGATCCTATTATGCAGACTTTGATCATGAAGAAATTAACCTAAATGACTTGCGTCAACTCGTTATCTATCATCCCGTTGAAGAAGATGACACCTCTGACAATAATGAGAATGATGTTCATTGTCATAACACCCTAAATACTTCAAATGAATTAAACACATCAAACCGGTCACCGGTCAATAAACGAAAAAGTCGTAAGAGAGACAGTGCAGCACTATTTGACATTTCTCTTGAGGATTTAACTGAGCCAGATTTTGCAGGACTCTTGAGGGAGAAGCACAGTGAAAAGCTCTGGTGGTGTGTCCTTATTGACCAGCATCTGTGCATATTTCCTTCTCAAGATCCAGAAGAAGTGGCATATGATGTTATCATCATGCCATGTTGTCAGATTTCTTTGGACGATCGGCTTATGCGCACACCAGTGTTTAGACTGACCCAGTCAGACATGGCACCTTGGGTGTTTGTTGCTTTTGATAATGATGAACTTAAAGAGTGGATGAAGGTTCTAACTATTGCTGCATCTGCTGGTAAAAGTTCCTCTGTTACACCTTCTAATACAGATGAAAAAAAGGCCTCTGTTCCTCCCCAAGCTCCTCTCATGCAGTCCATTTTAGAAGAGGAGGAGGAGGAACTTGATGAATTTGCAGAAGAATCTCTGTGTAGCTCTTTTCAATCAGATGTTAACCATCTTTCATCTCAATCCTTCAAGAAATCTTTCGAGTTAAATAAGGTAAAGGGCCCTAAATTTATTAAATTAATCTTCCTAAATCTTTGAATGATAATTTAAAGTTTATTTTTTTTTTATTGCTAACTTACACATTTTTATTTTAATTGTGCCTTGTTGTGCAAACATATTGTTATTGTTTTGCTTAAAATTACTTTGAACTTTTTATTATAACTGAAATCCTCAAATAAGGGCATACCTCAAATTTAGGATGTTTGATTTATCTGAGAGCTTGCAGTGATGTTTTATTGCTATAACACACAAACCATACAATGAAAGTATTAAATTATTGCTAAGAAATTTAGCACATAAAATGAGTCATCAATATTAAGGTAAAACTTAACATTCTTCATCAATCAAGGGGTGTGAGTTTATTGACTCAACGTAGTCCTGGAAGAAGACTTTTGTCTATGGCAATGGCAGTTTGAGAGTCTCATTAAAAGTCATCATTAGAGTTAAGTGAGGACTTGTTTCTCAGTTGAGTGTTACACCTATAAGTCAATTTTGCTGTCATGTTATTGGCTGCTGAACTTACATGTTGGTAGCAAATATAGTTAATTGTTGGTTTGGCATTTTGATCTGTTGGTTAAGTCAGTTTGTCGTGTTTCATTTTGGGTATTCTTTATCGAGCCATCTTTATTGCTATTCAAAGTTATCTGTTGGTTAAGTCAGTTTGTCGTGTTTCATTTTGGGTATTCTTTATCGAGCCATCTTTGTTGCTATTCAAAGTTATCTGAGGTTAATTGGAGTGTCAGGTGTGGCAATTAGTACAATCTAGCTAGAGAAAGTGCAACTATATTTAGCAAGTTTTATCACCAGATCATAAACTGCAAAATGAATTTGTCTAACATGTCATGGATACAGTCTCTTTACTGCACATAAATAGAAGTTTCTAGAGAGGGTGGTGTAACTGCCCATAAATATAAAAATTTGAATAAACTTATCTATATTTTAAGCCACATTTGATGTTGAATTTAAAATTCCATGTTCTAGAGAGGAATGCTACACTACTTTTTTTGCATCTTTTTCCAAGTGGAGTGACGCATGCATTAAGGGAGCATTTTAAAGCAATCTTCCCCAGTGAAAATTGAAGAAGCTTAATCAATATTGTTTGTGATATCTGCAGAATCAGTTCTCCAGTTACTCTGAACACTTAACCTTGTGTGAGGTGTGATAATTTTAACTGCAAATTGCTGATACAGTTTTTAACTTAATATCATCAAAATAACACTTAATAAATAAAGCTGCTGGTGAATGTCTATGAATATTTATGACTCTCAATATCTTGTTTCAGTATTGTCTCAGTTGCTTGATATAACATCATTTTTAACTCTGGTATATATATATATATATAGATTTTCTAAGAATTTGGTAAATGTAATTTTATTACCAAAGAAAATTTGATATTTTTAAAGATGTTCTAAATCTTGGTTTCCTGATTTCAAACTAAAATCTAAATTGTTTTAAATTGATGTACCTTGATAAAGTTGAGATGCGATGAAACTAGTCGTTGCCTTAATGCCTAGCCAGATGTCTGGGAAAATAGGTGTGCCATGCCTAATTAAAATGAATCAATATCAATTTTATATATTGGGGTAAATTTATATGTAAATTACTTGATAGCAGACAGAACTGAAAAACGTTATTAGTGTATCGAAGGAGTGTTGGGTTATTTGAGAATTTGGCTTTGAATTTACAAGTACATTTGGAAATCAACCCCAATGCCTTGTCTTGCAAAGCTTGTTGCTTACATTCAGAGCTGGGCAATTGGATCACGTGTATGTATATTAATTGGAATAACACAGAACTGATATGTGATATTTGTAAATATTTCATATGAGAGGAAGTATAGATATGAACAATGCTACAAGAATACATGTACCCACTAAATATTACTGCAAGCAGTTGTGTGATGTCGTATGCTGTAGAAATGAAGACAGTTCGGGCCTGGTGGAAGGATGTCTGTTGTGTTGTAAGGGACAAGTTTTTGCTTTGTATACAGTCATCAAATTAGATCAAATTTCAAGGCTTGGCCAAACAGCAAAGGGAAAATTTCCATACATTGTGGATGTTGTGATTGGAGTTTCACTATTAATAACAAATCCTAGGAATGGAAACTGTATTATTGGCAAAAATTGTAGAAACCATTTGTAAAATATGATAGCTCAACATTATTAAAAGCCTATTATAATTATAGTGTTCTTGTTAGTATATTCACTTTTTCTTTTTTTTTTATGCATTTTTGTGAGTCTATTATTGTGTTATATATAGGCATTGTTATGGTAGATAGTGAGTTGCCAAGAGAGAAGAATGCAAACAAATTATTTAGTTGTGTTCAAGGTATTGCTGATAGTATGTATAATTGCTTTCACAGAGTGACAACAATCCACCAGTAAGTTATGTGAATGGAGAGGCTGTGGAAAATGGTTATGAGAAAAAAGGCTTTCCTGCGCTACCTAAGAGGCCTGATGAAGTTGATGGGGAACAGTTTGGAGAGGATATTTATGAAGCAGTAGCAAACCAAAAGGCAGTCCAGGAGAACTTTCAAGATGATGGATTTGCTACAGATGAATTTGATTCAGGTTCATCAGATGGTGGTGATGTATCAACAAGCCCCCAAACACAACCAGTTCAAAAAACCAAAAAGACAAAGCAATTCTTTAAATGGCTTAAGAAGAAGGCAAAGAAGGACAAGCTCTTTAGTAGTCCCGAGGATGGAGTTGCCTTGGCAGGTTATGCATACAAGTCAAATGACAGCTCCAAGCGCTGGTTCTTGATAAGAGAACAGAAGTTGCATTGTTTCAAGACGATCAAAGACGAGGATCCTGAAATAACATTTGACCTGAATGGAAGCGAGATCAAAGTGGGAGAGGAAGAAAAGGCCAAACTTTCCATTCAGGTGCTGAGAGATGGTGCAATTCATTTTACACTAGTGGCCAAAAATTTGAAAGACTGGGAACGCTGGAAAAAGGCTTTCTTATTAGAATCTGGATTTATTCAACTTGCTGTCTCACCAACAGATACAAATTCAGGTTTTTATGATCAGGAGGAAGATGAAGAAGAAGGAGACTATGTTACTCCTGTAGTTTCTCCAGGATTAGAGAAGACTCCTATACCTACAAGTAAAACTTTCCCATTAAATAATAACAATGAGACATATGATGAAGACCTTTATATGGAAGTTGTTCCTTCTAGGGTGACAACTGTGGAAAAATTGAAATCACCATCACCATCATCAAGTCTGCTGGAATTAGGGCCACTTCCTCCTCTGCCTCCTGATCTACTGCCACGGAACACTCCAGATGGTGCAGAGGGAGATACAAATGAAGAGAACTGTCCTAACATATCAGAGAGCGAGGATATTTATGAAGAAGTTTCCTCCTCAGTTGCCAATGCTGATAAAGTAATCAAATGGCAGGGCCTAAATTCCAAAAAATTAGAGGTGTGCCCTGCTGGTGTTCAAGGCAAACCTTCTGATAAAGCAGCTAAAGGTTAGATACATTGTCATTTCATTAACTATCCAGTTATTAGATTACTCAAAATACAATTACATCCACCGTTTTCCAAATAAATGATGGACAAACACAACATTACTCAGGATTCGGCTTACCACAATATAGTGTCCAATTGAGTTTCAAGTTAATAAATCTAATATTCTATTTTGTGAGATGGATAGAAATACTTTTGTGTACTTAATGGCCCTGTCATACACTAAATGTGGTTTGTCTGCATGGACTTGAAACTTGATTTTTGATCCTCTTAATGTTTTGAGAATCAATGTGAATGGAGTTCTGAAGAATTTTTCTCAGCAGATTTAACCATTAAACTCCCAACAGCCGATTGCTAATTTTCCCCTCTAGCTGCTACACATTTCCTTATAAATTAGTTATAAGAATTAGATCAGGTTAACAACTCCTTTTTGATGAGTTCGAGTATTCTCATTACCTGTTTGCTGGATAACGTATGGAAATTATGGGGAGGAGTTATCTGTTAATAACTTCCGGGACTTATGGATCAAGGGAAAAATTAATTTTGAGAAAAGAGTCAGCTGTTTCAAAAATGAGCTTTGTTTGATTTCCTTTACTCCTCGAGGGTTATTCATACATACGGGTAATTTTTGTAATTATTTACCTTATAAAAGAAATGATATTTGAAAGCAAATGGGCAAGCTGTTGTTGACTTTTGAATTAAAAAAGATGACTTAAGTGAGCTTAATTAGGTGGCATCAATCTTTCACAAACAGTATTACATGTATTACATTACTCACATTTCATAGGTTTCCATAATTTAAATAATTACCTCTGCTGTACTCCTTTTTTTTCCAGGTCCTGTCCCTGCTGGTGTTTTGGATGGCGGTATTGAAGACAGTGCTATGACTGCATCATCATTTCTGGACAGTTCTTCAAAACCCTCTGCAGGCAGACTTAATTCATCAGTCGGAGCGTGGTGTACCAAAGGCAATGATAAACAGCAGTATCTTCAAATCGACCTTGGTAACAATTTTTAATTGTTATTCGACTGAATGATTCTAACTAAACCTTTCACTGTGGTTAATTCAGCTTGACCGAGGGATAGCTTGTATTTGAGGCATATTTACGCCGAGGATCGCGGAGGATTTCAACTTCTTCGTGAAACAATACTCACAAGCAAGGAGTTAAGATGTAACTCATCAACTTTTACTATTTTTATCATCCAATTACAGGTCGGAACCATTCCTGTATTTAGTCGCTAGTCATTTCATTTCGTGTGGCTGCCATGTTGGGAAGAGATGTAAATTCTTTCTAGGGGGGGGACCCTAGGGGAAGGAGATAAGCAAGAGGACACAGGGGAGGGGTGTGTGGGAGAACCACTGCCAGTGTTCGTGAAGGATTTATGGACCCGTTAGGTCATATCTATTAAGTTATATCAAGGGATTATACATATTCTGTGAAATGAACGATGTAACCAGATAAGAACTTCATAAGGAAGGAAATGGATTCTGAAAGTAAGTAATGTGAATTATTTAAAATTTTTTTAGGTGAGGTGGACAGAGTGTGTGGAGTGGCTACACAAGGAAGACCAGGTTTTCTTGATCAGGGAGGTTGGTTTGTTAAGACTTACACACTGGCTTACAGCAAAAATGGAGAAAACTGGGCCAATTATAAAGAATTTGGAATTGCTAAGGTAAAATCATTAGTTTGCTGTTTTTTTGGAGGTATCTCCAACTCACCCAGAAATTTACCAAAATAATACAACTGTTATACAGTGTAAACCCTTCACACCCTAACATCAGTATGCATATTCTCCATACTGTTCTCTTTACATTTCTTATGGTATTGGCAAGGAGAATTTGGTTAACAATCAAGAGCTTCAGGAGTGGCTGGTCATTACCCGAATTCTCATAACCTTAATGTTTGATTCAGTAGAGTGATGTTTTGAGAAATTAGATGCTAGTCAGTCTCAGGAAATACAATATGCACTTAGAGGATATGGAAACTTTGGGATGTAATGACATTTTCTGTACACTTGTATTTTGCTTAGGGTTTTGTTATTTTTTCTTTAAGATTTTTTTCTATTTGACCTTCAAATTTCTTACGCTTGACGAAGCTGTGAAATTTCATTGGGTGACATGATTGTGTGAAGGACGTTCCCTCCGCAACATGTTGCCGGTGATCCCCTTTACCTCCGCTTCTCAATGACTTTTAGCTCTGTAATCTTTGCTTGAGAGCCAACTTTGACTGATATACTCTGCCATCCAGAGCAAAAATAATCCAGTTAGCTTGTGCGTTTCTTTGCTTTCAAATTGCTCGCATCAGTTTTGGTTCGAACTCGTATTTTTAAAACATTGTATTTTCTGACAGGTTTTCCAGGGTAACAGCGATCCTGACACAGTAGTCACGAACATGCTGAAAATGGCAGTGAACGCGCGTTATGTGAGGGTTAAGCCCCAGTCTTGGCATAACCACATTGCCATGCGTGTTGAGGTCTACAAAGGAGAAGCTAGTGAGTTGCATTCATATTATTATAGGTGCTTCTTTTCAAAGGAAAAAAAAAGTTTGTGTGTGTTTTTCCAATTGAATAAAGATAAGTGATATCAGAAAGGCATCATGTGAATTTGGTTATCTCAGTGATTCAGTTGTTGTCTCTGGCCTTGTTTGGATAGCCCAATATTTTTGTACAATCGATGTAGCGTTAGGCTAATTCAGATCATTTTCATCCACGCTTGAATGATCGAGAATAAGAAAGGAAAAAGAGAAGGCCCTTTTTGTGTGCCCAAGTTATCCCTTAAATGTTCCGCGCTCGAAAACTTCAACGCAAGTTTTACCATAATAAGGTACGTGAAAGCAAACATCCTGAAACTAAATTTGCCAAACATGTTTTAAATTAATACAGACAGGCTCCTAAGAAACACAGACTTAATTGATTATATCTCGGTTGCTTCACTACGGAAAACTTAACCTTGTAACTCTTAAGATTTCATTAGTAATTCTCCTGACTGTCTGCCTTACGATTCTAATGATGTTAGTGCAGAGAATTTGGTTTATAACATAACCAAAGTAAAGCGCGCGCTCTGATTGGTCAATTTAGCGTCCCCCATTTGCCCATGGGTGTACACTGCTGACGTGAGCAAATGCAAAGACTATTTCTCCGCGCGCGCTTGTTTTTTTCTGGTCACGTAAGATTTTTTAAATAAAAGGGAACTCTTTAGCTACAATGTATCAATGTTATGTTATAAAACAAATGGTAAACACCANAGTATTGGACCGGGCACTGTCCCGAATGGTCCCGAATGATACCGCACTTGTGTCCCTTTGAACTTCAGTCGTATAATAAATCTCTTATTAACCAAGCTTGCTCGGGACCGTACTGGAAGAATATCGGCCCTCGGTCTTTTTTGTACGGACCTCGCTGCGCTCGGTCCGTACTGTCAAGACCTCGGGCCGATATTCTCCCAGTACGGCCCTCGCGCTTGGATAATAAGATATACTATTCCTTTTCTACTCACATGGTTTGGATCATTTTGTACGTTCTCCCTTTTTCAGGCTCGAAACTTACTGCTGGAATCCACAAATTAGCTGACACTCTAACAAAGACAACAAGAAAGAAAGCAGGTGACCGGCAACGTACCACATCCTCTCCAGTTGAGATTGAAGAGGAAGACGATTACAGCGCAGCAGAACCTACTTTAGAGAGGAAAGGTTCTTTTGATGAGAAAGTAAAGTATATCGATCGTCCATCCTCCGAGGAAAATCTATTGGACGGAGATGAGGAACGTGACAAAGGAAAACAAGTCACTGGTTTGGATAATGAAGCTGTTACTAACGATGAAGGATTAGCTGCGGATGATTATCTTCAATTGGTGAGAGAACCCACTGAAGAGGAAAAACAGGTGGAATTGAAAGTTCAACAGAGCATCGAAGCACGTCGGAATGGAGAACAGGTACATGTTTGCGGCTGAAGTCTAAGTTTTTTATTTATGCAATACTTTCAAGGGAGACTTGTTCATCAAAGTTGTGGAAAAGAAAGTTTCACTGTTATTATATATCATCATCGTTGTCAGAATTATTACAATTTGTCAATTGCTTGAGCTATTGTATTACAATCTGAGTCAGTCCTGTTTGCTGCGTTTGTCCTTCAAATGACAAATGTCTGTCGTTCAAAAGTAGATGCTTTCTGTTAATTAATTTTATGTTTGGGTTACTTTAAATTTTGTATAATTTGGCAATTACTACCGGCAATTTGTTTTTTAATTAGTAATCGTTGTGTCCTGTAATAACTATGTGCATTATTTAGAAATCGTTAAGCAAATTTTGGTTGATTTACATTGAATATCGGCGACGTTTCTTATTTTGTCGCAAACAAGATTTTATTGGTCCAATACTAGGCTGTTAATTAAGGTCAAAAGATGTAGAACCTGGTAAGCAGTGTTAATTACTGGTACTTAGGAAACGCGGCATAACGGCTTTTATTTGGAAACTCAGACTCTTTTTTGTTGTTTAGAGAAAAGCAAGGTTCTCGCTACAAATCCTTCGCCTTTTTATTATATTCAAACATTTAGTTTTTTGTCATGTCTGTCTTTGTAAAGTATAAATGCCGTTATATTGTTGTAAGTACATATGATGTTTTTTTTTTTTGCGCACAGAAAACGTTTTTGTTAAATTTTTAACACAACTGTTTTGCTATTGTCCAAAGATTGGTAGATGTGAAGTATCACAAGGAATTAAAGCCAAGAAAAGTTTGTATGAGCAAATTGAGACGACCCAAGACCAAAGGAAAGACAGTTTATCAAAGGGTTCTAAGGAAAATGTGGTGGTAACAAAGAAAGAAAAATACATTGTGGAAAAGAGGGAAGTTGAGGAAGAAAAAATTGAAGGCAAAGCTAACAATGAAAAGAAGAGAAATTCTTCTGATTCATCCCAACGAGGTAATTAGCGAAGTAGTTATATTTATCAATTATCGTTCGAATGTAATTTCCAGCTAAGATTTTTAAACAGATGGTGCGGAAATTTTTCCTTCTTAAGGGCTAGAATTGGAAAGTACTCTTTGCGGTTTGTTATTCCAAACGAACGCGAGATTTCCATTTAGAGAATAGTAATGATGGTGCTAACAAAAGGAGTTTTTACTGACAAATGTTACCTACATTTAGCCAGCCTGTCTCAAGAAAAGTTATTATGTGCTCGAAGAGTCTATAATATATAGATTTAGCCAAGCCTAAAAGCGGAGCTCGCATTTTTTTTTCCCGCACGTCTCAAGCGCACAACTCCTTGCCTCGGCCAGGACTAGAACCCGGGTCGTCCGACTCAGAGCCCAGTGCACTGACCACTGGACTACTGGACAAAGCTGTGGCGTTGGCGTGCCCGCGGTACAGTTGACCGCGCACGCTAAAAGTAGCACCTTGTACGGACGCCTGCACAGTCATAAGTCCAAATTTTTTTCGGCTTGATGGGTTACCACTGCCATTTTGTATAATTATGGGGTTACGCTCTGCGAGCTCCGCTATTATGAAAAAGGGGAAAGGGACCTTGAAGTAATGATGAGTGTGCCCTTGTATAGCTCTCTGTTGGTGACGTTATGATAACTTCAATGGCACCCGGCACGGTTTTTGATGATGATGATGATGATGAATGTTGCGTAAAAAGGAAAATTAAAGTGTCGAAAAGAACCCATTGGTTTTGGTTTACCGCGCTCACTGATTGGTCGAAAAAAATCGTGCCTCCCTCGCGAATTTCAACCAATCGGAAGCAAAGCTAAATCCTGCCTCTACATGGTCATTCGCGTTTTCCCGTGCTTTTCGGTTACTTTGAGTTTTGATTGGTTCTTAGTGATTTTTGCGTTTGTTCTGATTGGTTACTGTAAAAGTCACCACATATGATTATAAAGCTTATTATATAGGAGTCTTGGCAATTCTCTTCGCCAGATCCAGATATAGAACGAGAAGAGCTGGAGAAAACTGAAAAGGCTTTCCAGAAGTATGCCAAGCAGCTGAAAGAGGACGGAGGGCCTGTTGTGAAAGAAAAAAGAGCTTCTATTGTCGCCCTAAACAGACTTAACTTCGAAGACCCGAGGAGTGCCTCAAAAGCTAAAGAGAATGGAAGTTATCTTGAAAAAATGGAGAGTCTGCTCAAAGAAAAAGAAGAGCTTTTGAAGAAGATGGAAAATCTGAAAAAAAGGTTGTCAGTTGCCAAGGATAGGAAAATATTCTTTAGTCTATCCACTTCCAGGTCCAAGGCAACCACAGATGCTGACGCTGAATTTCATGAATCCCAAAATGAAATGGCAAAGACAAAGAAAAGACTTCTGGAAATTGAGAATGAAACGAAAAATTTGAAAGTCATGGAGTTAAGGTACCAAAAGACACCTGAGAAGACAAATCCAGATAAGCTTTTTCTTCGTAGAAGTAGCAGAGAATGTAAGCTGGGATCGGTTGAGGTACAAAGCTCAAGGGTTGCTATTTCATCCCCATCTTCTGGGAAGGAAAAGGAGGAAGAGCTTGCCCAGGCAGGAAGTGTGTTGTCTCAGTTCAAGGTAAGAAGAGACAAAGATGAAAAGATTTTTAAATTGGGTCATCAATTTGTACTTGTTCCTAGTCGCCGGCTAGAAGGCAGTTTGAGGCCTCTATAAATCATTTTAAAGAACCACCCCAGAGCTCCCAAGATTTGACAACTGATTTCCCTCCTCTCGCGTCTTCTTAGAGATAAGGTAGGACGATTTGCCGTTAAACCAAAAGGACACCCTCTTGCTGACAAGTTCGCAATTCTTAAGAGCTGTTTTCTGGACTATGTTTTGAAATTGTGACAACGTTATGGGTATGAACGGGATAATTCCTTACTCGTCAGGTTTTTATACTCTACGTTTCCCATCAGAAATAAATTTCAGGGAGAAGTGTTTATCTAGTTGTTTTGAGCAGCGACAATTACATAATTACAATGTCATATGTGTTGTAGAGGGGAAAGTCGGTAAGCCAGATCTTTAAATATAGGGAATTTCATCATTACTTCTGGGGAAGGATTCGCAGTTGACAAAGGGGATGTTTTCACTCAAAATCAGGTTTTGTAAAGCCAATATTAAGCTCAGTTGCAGTTTTTATTAAACCAACAGCAAGTAACTAAAAATTGTCGCTATTTTTCAGGCATTTGAACAGATGAAGAAAAAGTGAAAGCATACGAAAACTCGGAAGTTAATCCTTTGCGGAAGAGCTCTTTTAATGTGGGGAAACATTTCATGTTTAGTTAATTTGAAACTTCTGTTTTTTGCTTTTCTCCGGCAAGGCAACATACTTGTATTCTCAAATTTGATTATTCTGTCTAATAAACTACTGTAAGAGCCTTCATACATGCGCTGAAAGCGTAGTTGCGTCACCTTTTGAGGTTGCTGGTTTATTTTTATTCTTATTGCGTTTTAGCAAATTGCGTTTAGTTGGTGACTTGACTTAAGTTACTTAACGTATATGTTCTCAAGACATTGTTGAAAGAATTAAATTAAGTAATATGTATGTTGTATTAATGTCTCTGCAACGTCTTAAAAGAAGACGCCAGTTCTTATATGTATTGAGTATTCAAAACGTGTTAGTTTAAATCAGTGCATTGGAAACAATTGTTACTTCATACAATCACTTGCTATTCCTAAAACAATTTCTAGCTTAAGATGCCAAGAGAAAACCTTGTCTGAGAAGTTCAAAAGTCAAAGCGAGTGAAATCTTTCACCTTGTATTTCAGAATTTCAATCAATCGGGCAAGTCGCTGAGAGTTTTATTTCAGTGGCCGTTATTAACAAAAAGCGGGTACTTTTACTCAGTTTTACACAATTAAAAATCTCTAATATAAAATATGTAAATATTGTAGGAGAGTGATACTTTATTCCATATGTGTAGTAAAAAGAGTTTTTTATTTTCATGTTATGTAACGGCCAAATTTGATTATCTAAGCACCTCGTTTTTATTGCTCCCCACGTATGAAAATGTAACAGACTGCTTTTTAATATGCACTTGAGTGAAAATGTTAATTTCTGCCACTTACGATAATGGTAAATTTTTTTTGGTGGCAGAAAGAGTTTTCTTTTCAAATTTTTTGATTAGCGAAGGTTCGCCAAGAATTTTTTTTTTTGATGAATGTAATAAACTCAGTTTCTTTCAAGCTTTCCTAAGGTGTTACTTAATTGTTGTGTTATTTGTCAGCTGTTTTTTAAAGAAGTTTCCGAGTGTTTTTTTTTTTTCTTGGTGTTTTTTTTTTGTGTGTGTGTGTGTGAAGTGAAGCTCAAGTAACTTTAACATTAACAGCATTACTTGAGCTTGCGTAAAGATGTACCCGCCAGTTTTGGACAAAAGTAAAAACTGTTACTTAATCGATGAGCGTTGAGAGTTTTCACTTATTTAGCAAGTAAACTTCACATTTTAAGTTGTTCGTGAATTTCGTGGCATTTCATACTTTTGCGATTGTGTTTTCCATGCACCGACTCTCCGTTAGTTGCCTCTGTTAAAACAACCAATCATCACACAGGAGACTGTCTCAATGTGCCAATGAGGACTCAGAATGATAATTAGTAAATTTCCAGAATCGCAGGAATACGCGAAAAAACCTTGTTGTGAAAGGTCTTACTTTTGCCTTTATATGGTAACGCTCCATATCGTTTAAGTTAGGATTTGGCCAGTCTTTTCACAAGGTCACAGAGGATGCTTTATTCTGCGAGTAGCGAGACTAAAATTTACGTTCCCGTGTTGTACAAAACTGTTTGCCATTAAAGTCTCGGATGGCAAGAATTCATACCCCGCCTCCCCCCATGATAAAGGAGACTACTGCACAGGTGGCCCAAGCTAGATAAAGGAATTGTGACCAAAAGTGTTCAGGATTTCACTAGTAAAGTAGCCTTGCCTTACTCTGGTCACGTGTTCCGCTTTGTTTCCCGCGTGATTTTGGATCGATTCATGGTAATTTCGTCGGGTTTCGTTCCTCCAATTCTTCCTCAGTATCCCTTTTCAGAATGGCACGGAGAGCAAAGCACTAAGGCTAACAACAAGCTACTAACAAGTTAATAATCTCTGGCTATTACAAGTAAGCTACCTGCAAACTCACAAGACCCAGCAGAACACACATAGAAGCAAGGAAAGCATGTTTTATTCAAAAATAGTTCGAGGTTGGAATGCAATCCCTCTATTCATTCCTATACAAATCCTCATGATTTGCCTATTGTGTAACATAAACATTATCCTGTAGGCTTAGAAGGCTTATTGATCAAACTTGGCATTAATGTGACTTGTTCGCGCGATCTCGCCTTAGCTTGTTCAGCCTTCATTGTTGTTCTTCCTTTTCCAGACGGCAGCATGTAGGCCTACGAACATGCAGACTAGGTCTCGAAAAGAAAAAGGATTATCAAACCTTTCCCGTTGCAGAAAGGAAAATTAATCTGACATGAATATGCATACAAACATTCCTTTGTTTTTATTTTGAAAAAGGTATCGTCTACAGTTGTTTGGGTGACTCGGCTGGTGACCACGAGGTTCCCTTTGAGCTTTGGACTCGTTTGTTTTTGTTATGACGATATGTAATTGGTTTAATACATCTCGCTATCTAGTCAGCCAATCAGAAACCAAAGCCGGTGTCGTAACATAAAACAACCGGCGTAAAACCGGCATTCGCCGACAGCTAAATAATGAAATGCTTAGGTCAGAACGTATACGGTCAACAACGCGGGCTCAAGTGTCCTAGGTCTAAAATTAGCGAAATTAGCGGAAAATGATAAGGGCTGACCTTTATAACCGAGGAACTCTGTTTTCGTCGAAGGCACTTCCCTATTTCCAAAGGTTTTAAGGAGAAATTTGATTTTTGAAAATTTTTAGGGGGTGTACCAAGTTTTTGGAGGTTGTTCTGTAAAAGAAAAGCGGCAAGAAGCGACGCCTCGAAGCAACAGAATAGGAAATGAACCATGCGAATGACTAGCCTGAGGATAAAGCTCCTGATCCTCAGGCTAGCGAATGACTCAAAATCCGATTTTCCGCGGCAAAACATAGCGCATGCGTATAAATAGCGCATGCGTCTCCCTGATCAGGGAATCAGGGAGACGCCCTCAAAATCTAAATGCAAGATCATCCTCTCCAGAGACAAAAGACCCAGTAAAAGAGTCAGTGTGGGCAGATTTTTTCTTCAAGTGCCTTGGTCTGATCTTCTCTCACCTGATCTGTCATGTGAACTTAAGCTTAGAACTCTCACTGACATTATTAACCTTGGGCTGAACACGATCATGCCCGGGCGTTCTACAAAGGTGTACGAAACTGACCGGCCTTGGTTGTCTGTACATCTCAAACATCTAATTGCCCGTCGTCAGAAGGCATTCGCATCCGGGAACCAGTACCTATTTAAGATCTTAAGAAACAAAGTGAATCGAGAGCGCAAGCGCTGTCAGAGGGTCTATTACGAGAACAAGGTTGATGGCCTGCATGCTTCCAGGCCTCGTAATTGGTGGAAAGAAGTGAAACAGCTTTGTGGGTCCACTAAATCTACTGAGCGCGATCTGAAATCCAAGCTCCACAAAGATCTTGTATATAAAGATGCAGTTTTAGCTGAAAAAATTAACCAGGCGTTTGTTAGCGTAATGAAAGACTACTCGCCATTGGCAGTTGGCGCACAGGTGTCAGCAGATGATGATAATCCGATTGTGGTTAC